GATCTGGCTAATCTACATGCCTCCGTCGAAGGAGGCATGTAGTCTAGACACACCCTCACATATAGAAACCCAGAACTAGCCTTGTGTTTACTATGTTATTCATTTATTTATATTATACTATGCATGTTCTGATGTATTTGTCTGATATCTTATATTGTTTAGCTGAGGAATGGCAATGTCCAAAGTTTTGTTAACATCACCATCTTGAATAGTACCTAATAGTAGTTTGACAGCCACATTAGCCACCTTTCTTCTTGGAACTTTGGCATCCTTTTTACAAGTTTGGCATTCTTTTGTGGAAAAGAACTAGTCAGGTGACCACTAATCTCCTCAGAGAGTAGGAGGTATATAAGCCTTGCTCATAGTCCTCTCTTGTGTCAGCCCACGTTTATGTTGTCACATAAGAAAATCTTCAAGTGTCAACACCACTGATACCCACCAAAAGCATCCTGACCCTGATTTCAGTCATTCTGAAACTGATGCTGATCCTGGTCTCCAAGGTCCAAGTTCCTCCCACATTACACTGGTCTACAATTTTTAGAAGTCGTTTGCTTCAGAGATAAAATGTGCTATTTATTATGTATTTTGATGTGCTGAATTCAAATATGACAATTAAAACAACTGATTGGCTACTGTTTCCAAGATATTTAAGTTTTTCCATTTTACGTCTATGTATATTGTGTAGATAGCAGAGTTTTAATCATAAATTGTAAACCTAGGTCTTTTCATGTGTTTATGGTTGCTTTACATGATAATATTTCACCTGTCCTGTTTATGTAACACTTTAAAAATCAGCAAAATGGTTATATAAATAAAATGTATTATGAAACAAAAGACAAAAAAACTACTATGTACATTGTTTAGTCCTTTTCAGTGTCTACTCGGCGCTTCTTGGCTTGTCTCTTGGGCTGTGTCCAGACTCAGGGGTTTTTTCGGGAAAAGTAGCCTTTTCCCGAAAAAACTTCCCCTGCGTCCAGACTCAAGCCGCGTTCTTTCGAAATAATTTTGAAAGAACGCGGCTTTTCTTTCGATGGCGGTAAACCTCGTTTCACGAGGAAGAACGCCTTCTTTCGAAAGTTCCTCTTTCGAAAGAAGGC